AGCCCTCGCGCCACTGTTTATTCTTCTTCTTGTTGGGTCAGTTGGAGGTGCCTTTGTCGACGTCCTCATCCCATTTCGCCTTGCCCTTGAGGATGTGTCGGCCAAAGGCCTGAGATCCCAACAAGTCGGGGCTCGGGCTTCGGCCCTCGCCGCTGTCGTAGCGTCCATCACAACATGGGTGGTAACCACGGCTGGCCCCCTCCCTCGTATTGCCGCAGGTATGAATGCGGGCGTCGAGGGTGTCGCGTGTGTCACGGTGGGGGCTGAGACGGTCACGCACCGGAACCACGGTGCGCAGCCTGCCGCCTTGCTGCGCCTTGTGGACCGACACATCCTTGTTGGGTTGTTCTGAGGGCACATTATGCCTACGAGCATTGAGGATGTCACGTGCGTCACGGTGGGGGCCGAGACGCTCATGCACTGGAACCGTCGTGCGCGGCCTGCACGGGAGCGTTGTTGAGGCACTCTGGACGAGGCATTCCGGAGAGAGCGGCTCTCTTCCGGCAAGCCACGTCATGATGTTGGCGAACAAAAACGTGAGGTGGCGCAGGTCCTCACAGGACGGTCGGGGTCCCAGGAAGGCGCTGAGTTGGCGCTCTAGCATCCCATAGTCAAAGTTGAGGAGCTGGTCACTTTCGGTGGCACGGGCCTCCGGTACGTGCAGCTGCAGCTCCTCTAGGGCCTTGGTGATTGCACCAAGGCCGGTGGAGTGGAGAGGTTGGATGGCGGCGGGAGCCTGCGCCAACTCTCCTTGCATCGTGGCGATGAAGTCTAGGTCCCCGATGCGCACGTGCGCGCCCAGAACCTAGTTGACCTTGCCATTAGCCATCCGAGGCCTAGTGTGGATGTCGAGATGCACAAAAGGCCCCTACTTGGCACGCCAACTGTCGGTGTTTCGAGTAAACACCAATGAGTAAATTTGTATTATTACGCGTCTGGCTCAGATGGTGTGCTAAGAGGACACGATGTTTATACTGGTTCAGGCAAAATGTCCCTATGTCTAGTTCATTGCTGCTGCTCATGTTACTAGCACTAAAAAGTTCATAGTAGGGTTACAAACGAGCGAGAGAGGGACATGTCCCAAGTCTCTGATGGAAGGAATGAATGGGTGGCAAGAGCTCGGTGGCTGCTCGACTATGTGTTCAAGGTTCGATGCTAGTGATTCTGATCTAATGCGATGCGAGTTCGATGCGATCTCGTCTGATTCGATCCGATGCACCTCTAAGGGATGTCCTGCTTTCTCTTTTATAGGTCAAGGGAAAGCACGAGTTACAACGGGAGAAAAGAGAAGAACGAGAGGGAGAGGAAGTCCTTCAAGGTCATTGGGCCTTTCCTTTCCTTTGTGCGGCCCCGCTGACATGGTCAGTAGTGACAGGGACAGCCTCACGCCGGGCGCCTGTCCGTCTGATGATGCCATGCCCTGGCGTTGTCAGCGGGTCGTGACGTCCCATCCTGCCCTGGCGGGCAGCGTGGCGAACCAGCGTGCTGATCAGTGGCCGTACAGGAAGTAGGCAGCATAGTGACCACGCGTCCGTCACACTGTGGGCGATGTGAGTCCCCTGGAATGACATGTCGCAGGGATGGATCGTGTTGAGACGTGACCACTTCCTGCACGACGCCAGAAGTTTGACCTTGGATTGTACTTTTTGGCCCGTAGTGGTTGGCGGCGGCCTGAGCTTCCGTTAGGAGCCGTGTCCGAGGGATCGGGCGAGGCGGAGACTGCCCTCGGGTGTCAGGCGAGGCGGAGCCCACCCTTACACGACCAGACGAGGCCGAGCCCATGGCCTCGGTGTCGTGTGAGGCAGAGCCAACCCTCAGACGTCGGGCGAGGCAGAGCCCGCCCTCAAGAGTCGGGCAAGGCAGAGACCGCCCTTAGAGGTCGGGCGAGGCCGAGCCCGCGGCCTCGGTGCCAGGAGAGACGGAGCCAGCCCTTAAACGTCGGGTGGGGTGGAGCCCGCCCTCAGATGTCGGGCGGGGCAGAGCCCGCCCTTAGAGGTCGGGCGAGGCGGAGCCCACGGCCTCGGTGTCTGTTGGAGCTGTAGTCGCACCCTTGACTGCCTAGATAGATTAACGTATAATGACCATTAGCCTCTCCTCTTCGGGTACCATAGTATTGGTCCCCGACATGGTGCTTGCACTCGCTCCGGATGTAGGCTATGCCGATAGTTGTACCATGTCATTTTGTTGTTTCTATTAAGTGTTGTAATTCTTCTCTCTCCTACTTATCATGTACTTCTCTGACCTTCAAGGGTCGCCCTTGTATTAGGTGCTCTGCACCCTTCATTCTCGGCCTCGCCGGTACATATCAGTGGAAAATTGTTCAGGTGGGGAGTTTGTCTTGAAAAAATTATAGCAAAAGGCAGCGGTCAAAATTATTTCTTGAAGACGGTGTTGATGTTGAAAACGACTTGTTTTAGGTATGAAATTGTTTGGGGTAATTTATAATGGCTGAGCTCGAGTATTTAGCTCCGCTCTTGGAATTTATGTTCCGTCTCTATCAACTCGTGTGTGGTGGATCGGAATAGACTGGGCTGCACTTTAGTGATGCCATGAAATTAATCTGTATTCCTTCTTCTAGAAGAGCAAGTCCACATTTGGACGGTGGGACATGTTCGCTAGGACCATGCATGCATTCATAGCGGGTGAATCAATTCCAATAGTATAAGGCGATGTGATATAAAACGACCCTAGATCGAATCAATTCCAACTGGCACGAGGACCCTAGCAAATAATGGGGTGAGTACGTATCAAACGACCCATCCAAGGCCATCTGTGGGTTTTGCTCACTGGCTCGTCTCCAAGTAGACCAGGCCTGAAAACTGGTAAATAAGACCACCCTACACCATCACAACATATATCCTCAACCTCAATCCCTTTGTTTATTTCCCCCTGAGCAAAGCAGAAGCGTCTCGGCGCGTACGTTGGCGTATTCGATCGATCGAGCAATATATAGCAGGATGAGGGTGCTGAGGGACTGTCAGAGTTGCGTCCGCACCGCGCAGAGCTACACTCCCACTGATCAACGCAGGTATGCATACAAACATGCACACGGAGTTTCGTTGATTAATTAACCATTAGCCAAAAGGCCGGGTCGGCAGGTCTCGTTCGTTTAGCTACTAGGAACTGTTCCAGCTGATCAATGGTAATACAAATAAGCTTATCATTCCAGCTGGAATCCTTTCAGGAACCGTTCCATAGTAAAGGACGAATGAACGAGCCATTTTTTATTCGGCCTTTTGCTCATTCACCAACCGAATTATACTTTCTAACTAAGAACAATGGCTTGGCTTTTACAGTCGTTCACATTCTAATTTTGCCTTAGTTAATCGAGCCAAATTTTCCTATCAACACTTGCTACTAGCTAAGGCATGGTTTTGTGCCATACGCAACCTCTTGCTTTTTGTAACACATGCACAAACTCTTGAAAGCATACGTTCATATGGGTATAATAACTGATGCATCCATATGCCAAGCAGGCTTTGCTACCAGCTCCAAAATTAAATGCACAAACGAGACTGCACAGGAAAAAAAACATCTTTCTCCTCTGCAGCCCTGCCCTGCTACGTGCTACGCCACCTCTCCCTCCGTACGAGCAAAAAAAAAAAAACACACCAAGCAAAACAAATCACCAAATCGAACAATAATTCTACTAAGAAAATTTTCGCTTCGAAATCTTCTAACTCGATTTTAAGAAACTTCAACTCAATTTGGAAAAACTTTTGACTTGGTTCAGAGACGCCTTCATCTCAATTTGGAGAGATTACTTTCAACTCAATTTGGAGAAACTACCAAATTGGTTGAACAAAAACTTTCTGATCAATTCGGAGAAACTTTCAAACCAATTGGGGAAATCTGCTAGTAACCACTGTCACAGGAGCCACACTATGGGCTGCCAGTGTGCCAGCAAAACCCATCTTCCAGCTTGTCGGCTGCCACCTGTCAATCCGATTCTCAGCAAACTCAACGACGCCCAATGCCTCACATTAATCCCTTAGGGTAGCTCCGACAATTAGCTCTAACCATTGTGGGTGCCCTAAGGGCCTATTTGTCTGAATGGAGCTGAACTGAAATTGAATTCTTAGGGCGGCCTGTTCGGCTGCACATTGTAATTGGAAATTGTAGATCCACTAAATTCCAGCCGAGCCAGTCGATGCCTATCTCAACATTGCTGGCCCAATCAATAACTGGAGAAGACTTTTTTATGGTGCCTCGTACCATTATTGAATGGCTGGGTATTTTTGAAAAGTAGTTTCAGACAATTTTTCTTCCAAAAAGCTCTCCCCCATCCTATCTCGGCATCTCTTGCATTGCTGCTTGTCTCATACCCACCAGACGCAGCACCGCCCTGCTGCCGGCACGATGCCACCACACCGCTTTGACGCCTCCGCCGCCCTCGTTTCACGGCACCCGTCCATGGTGGCCCAGCACCTAGGCCCCCGCCGCTGTGGACAGATGAGTGGCACCCTCGGTTGGGCCTCCATTTTCATCCTGTACACACACACCATCAAGCAGTACTCGGCTCAGCTGTCACTCACCACCATACAATTTCATCTTTGAAGCGTCTTTTTTAGCATAATATCTTTCCATTCTACTTTATTATTATGCCCTACAATATAAACTGTTGCAAAGTGAAATAACTGAATCACTGACACTACACCACAACACTAAATTACCATCTGACATGGGTCGCTAAAAGTTGATATTTACCGTTAAACAGTCGGTCTCTAAAGGTTTGCCTCAGACCCTCTGTTGGTAATTCTACATATTTCGATGGCTTGTCCGTTGCCATATCTATTTCAGTTTAGCGTTGAAAGGTCAGTCGCTGTATCCTACTAATCGCGTTGAATTGTTGGTCGGTAAATAACTTGGCGTGCTCTGACTGGCCCACTGCCACGAAATTTTGGCCCAAAATTGCATCCAAACCCTAAACATCTCTCCCTGCGTACCCACGGGCCACAGACGCACCAGACATCCACCCACGTAACGGTCGCCACCATATCCTACCCCAATGCCGCCGCTAGCGCTCGCCCCCTCCCAGCGCCGGCCTTCTCCACCACCCCGGCCCGGCCACCCCTGCTCCCGTCGCCCCTCCTGTCCACAGTAGCACTCCCATTGCCGACGCGCCAACTGTCGCTCCAATCACGCCCATGCCCTAGGTGACCGCCATGGCGTCGACGCTGGAGACCAATCCCGTCGACAAGAAGAAGGAGGGCGCATCTGCCTCTGATTAGGCCGTCGAGGCCCCCATCCCCAAGAAGCCAAGCTGGCCCCCGTCGCCAAGAAGCTTAAGACCAGATCCAGTGGCGATGCCGCCGCTGCCGACATCGTGGTACGCTTGCTCATCGGATCTTGCTTTGTTGGTTGTCTCGAATGTTTTATTGAGCTGCCAGTTTGTTGAGATTGTTTTTCTTTACGCTGAATGGAAACATCACTGTTGAATCCTGTGATGATGATCCTAATTGATGAGATGGGTCGGTGTTAGTTAAGAGTAGATGGAGTATTAGATGGGAAGCAGATGAGGATGAGGAGGTAGTAGTAGTAAGAAATGAGACGGCTATATCACATAACATATCTTTCAGAGTCAGAGTCATATCTTTCAGTAGCCAGATGACACTTACATAGGTTGTCGTTGAGGCTCCAAGAAAGAAGAGTTCAGATCAAGCATTGCCTATGTTTTGACGTACCAACAGATCTCAAAATCTTATTAGGTTGACATAGCCCATAGCCATGGTTGATTGCTACAGAACCTAAGTGACATATTTATAGTTCAATAATTCAGATCTCTATGAAATTCTTTGTACTAAAAAGTTTACCTGTTAATTTCTTCCACCTTTTAATTTTTTAGTCATTGATTCTAACATCTTCTCTTTATCTTTATTACACATGTATACAACTGGCCGTGTCATTTTAGTTGCTGGTGTTTTAAGTTTTAACATGCTGCTCAACACCTGTTTCTTATTCACAGAGCCTGCAAAGGGCCACCCATGTGCTTGACCACACTATTGTGATTACCGACCAAATAGTGCAAATAAGATATGGTAACTGACTGTCCATCGCTATAACCTTTAGCAACTGACTGTCCATCACTGTACACCCCTTTCAGCAACTCCAAATCAGTCACTGTTTTAAGGTTGGGGTGTAGCGTGAATATATAAAGCAAAAAGAATAGATCAACATCTGGTTGACTGGATCTCACTGAGGTGAGGAGCAGACTGCAGTGCAGGAGACAGGGGGCAGCCGCCAGCCAGCACCAGCAGAACCGCAGAAGGCCCATGTCGGCCTGGCCCCTGGCGCTAGCGCCCTTGGCTGCTGGCTAGCTGGGCGTTGGCTCGCCGGCCAAGGGCGGAGCCGTGGAGGCTGGAGGCCTGAGGTGTGGGCGCGGCCTCCGGCTTCTTCCCCAGCAGTGCCCTGGGCCCTGGTTGTGGCCGGCTGGTCGCCAACCGCCAGCGGAGCGTGGAGCCACAGAGGACGGGGCACACCGTCGCGGTCGCACCGCGGTCATTGAGGGGCGTAGAATTTTTTTAGGTGTAGAGAAGAGATAAAGATTGGCTTTTAGATGCTGCTTTAGACGGACACGTAATGTGGTGTACAATCTAAATTCTTGAAGCTCGTTGGTCGGTGGTCCATCTCAAATCAAATCAATTTGAAAGTGGATTGTATCAGCATGATATATAATTAAGCAAGTACCTGAGGTCTAGTAGAAGACTTGAGACAACGTAGAACGAAAAAAACGGAGGGAGAAATAGGTACGCACGGGTGCCGCGTGTATCGTTTGCAAATCCAACGACCACCTACTCCCACGGGAATCTTGGGCGACACGGCGCTGGGCTTTCACACGAATGCCCATAGCTCGGCTCCCTTGCAGCAATCTAGTTGCCACCGTGCGTTATAAATTTGGATGAAAATTTTAAAAAAATTGTCTTTTTAATATTAATATTGTAGCAAATGTGCCATTCGTTATAATGAAACTCAATGCATATTAGAATCAGACTACATATCATCGCTAGACACGAGCTATTCTAACTCGTAAAAGCACTAGTAAAAATATATAATTTTTACAATTCTACTGGTGGTAGCCTTAAGAAAACAACCAGTAAAAAATGTATCTACTTAAGTTGTGGGTCGGTACTATAAAATGGTGGACTAGGTACAAATTAGAATGTTAGCCGCAAAGGTAGCAAAGTAATTGTACTCTCATGAAAAACAGAGAATAGGGGCAGTTTAGTAAATTAATCCATGTAACGACCTATATGGCAAATCCAGATCTGTTGACAAGAAAGTTTCGTTTATATTCACTAAAGCAACAAAGTTCGCATCACAAAACACATTCAGATCCAAACTTAATTTCAAACACATAAGTGCATCACTACCACCGTATCCGTAGTCATGCCAATGATGCGACGCCCACGCACCCATGTCAGGCAGTCGTCCCAGTTCGCAGCGGCATCGGTGAAGGCCTCTTTCAACCCCTTTAGTTTGTGCCTCAGTGTGCCTGCCCCTGCCGGACCCGGGCATGTTCACCCACCTTTAGTTTGTGGCGGCATCGAGGTAGTATTTCTTGACCTCATTGTGCTTGTGTCGGGGTTATAAATCCAGGGTCCCTTATGGACCAGTTTTCAGCAAGGGATCGGCCCAGCAGACAACGTTACGAACAATGTGCAACTCATGGGCCGGCCCAAGTACCTAAACGACAGGCCAGAAGGGCGATCCAATCACCGACCGAAAGGCCTGGCCGAGGAGGAACAGCGCCCGCTTCCGACTCTGGCCCGCCTCTCCGACCGGAGCGCTCGCTTCGGTCTCCAGCCCGCCTCCGGACGGCGTCTCCGACTGGAAGGCCTGGCCAAACACGGCTTCTGACTCCGACCCACGTCTCCGACCGGGATGCACCAAACCCCTGCTCACCGCTCTTCTCCAACTGGCGTAATCAGAGCTAACTGGGACCAACCGACCGGGGGAGTCTGCTCGGTAAGGACCACGAAACGGTCGGAGAAAGTAAGGCAGGGCGCACAAGTCAAACCACAATACTAGAGTCCGTACCCTGTACACCTGCAGAACAGTACTCTACGACCTCCCTAGCATGACAGAACCCAAGCAGTGTTGTGGGTGTCGATATTTTCCCCTACAGTGTTGTAGGCGCCATCAACTCCCATACCAGACAAATACGGTAAGGCTCCCCACATGCCTCTGGGCATCAACAGTGTTGTGGGCGCCGACATTTACCACACCTGGCGAACATGGTAAAACCCCTTGCATGCCTCTGGGTATCAACAGTGTGGTAGGCACCGACATCTGCCATACCAGAAGAAGACGACGTAACCCCCACGTGCATCTGACATAAAACAGTATTGTGGACGCCTACCATCATCTTGTACCCACCGGCATGGGCAACAAGACTTAGTAGCACACGCACTCTCTCCCTCTCACCTGTAAGGTCATCCCCTTCGTCTATAAAAGGGGATGTGCTCTCTCCAACAGGACTCAGATTCATTCAGATCGGTCAAGTTCACTTAGCACATAGCGGAGCTCCCGTCACTCTTGGCCCCTCTGACCAGAGTTCGACCGGACCTCTTGTACCCACCATCTTTCTCCTTCTCGTTTGTAACCCCACTGCAAACTTCGAGCACCTAGGCTCAGGAATAAAGTCACCGACCGACTCAAACTGGACGTAGGGCACGTTGCCTAAACCAGTATAAACCCTGTGTCATTGAGTGCTAGGCCACCTCCGATCACAACGTATGGCAAACTGACAGTTGGTGCCGTCCGTGGGGAAGACGATGTACGTTCAATACTTTTTGGTCATTGGATGGCCCATTTTTCCGCCACCCTCGCCATGGCGGGCTCAAGCGATATGACTCGCTTCAGCTCACTGGAGTTTCCTGCACTCCCACCTGATGGGATGTGGGTTCCACCCGTCTTCGAGCCATCCCAGGCCTTCCTCTTCGAAAGTCTGGACTTCGCCGCCGACCGGCTCGGCGTACTACACCTCCGCGAGGAGGCACTCGTTCCGGCGCCCGTCGGAGGGGCGCCCTCCATCGGCTTCGGGACGCACGACGACTTCAACGACGAGGCGCCTGCGCTTCATTACGAGCAAACTCTCTGCTCAAACCCCACTATAAGTGATGTACATGTTGTTATTTACTTACTATTCACTATCTTCCGACGATTATCCGGAGGAACCCCGTTGTCCCTGCCACGACCGCCGTGCGACCAGTTCCCCTATGGCCTCGTGTCCCCCGAGGATGCGTACGCACAGGGGCTCCGAAGGATGCCGGCGCCACCCCCTCTCACGTCCAAATTCGTGGGGATTGCGAGCTATGCTCCCACCCGTTTCCTCGACCTCCTGGATGACGATGTTGAGAGTGACAGCTTCAGCATCGGCGACGTGGCACCTAGCCACCGTCCGTCCTAGGAGTGCGCTATGGTGGACGCTCCAGGACAGCCACTGGTGGAAGCGGAGTCCTTGCAGACTCACACCCCTCTGGACCCTCATGCGGGAACCCTCGCACTCACACGAGAGTACGGCGAGGACTATGACAACAGCGGCAGAACCAGCGCGTGTAAACCGGCGAGCGGCGCATAGGGTCACGCCCGCTAGGTCCAGCGCAACATCATGGATGGGGGGAACAGTCCCCCATAGTTCGCTCAGGCTGACCAGAACATCGCCGCTGCGATGATACTTCTGCGTGGCCTTCCCGAGCCGAACGACCCTCAGGAACAGGCAATCCACAGGAACCTCCGGGCACTGGTGGAAACCGCCGCCGTTCAATAGGTGGAGAGTTCTGCATCGCGACGCTGACTCGTGGCCTCTCTCCCCAACAGGGGAGTGGGGACGCACTAGATCAATCGCTCCACCTGCTCACCGCTACAGCTGCCAAGCGCGGCACTGGAGGCCGCATCTGCGCCTCGGCTTGACTTGGCACCTTCTCTGCACCGATCGCCTATACACGGGCGGCTCGGGCCAAACCAAGATGGTTGCTTCAACGGAGGCTGAGGCAAAGGTAAGGCCAAGCACGAGGATCAGGATGAGGGCCCCTCCATGCAGAGGGGCAAAAAGAACAGAAAGGATGGCCGCCGACCGGCCAACTCTGTGTTGGTCACCACGGCTGATCAAACGGACTAGCAGCCCTTGCAGGGCTTTCCAGACCACTTCAACGAGCTCATGGAGAGCCCGTGCAACAACCACGCCTACCCCGTCAAACACCTCTACAAGGATTGTGAGCTCCTCAAGCGCCTTCTACGACAGGTCGGCGGTCCGAAGGAAGGAAAAGGCAAAGAAGCAGCGGCCAAGAAAGGGGGCATAGCGGGTAAGGATCCAGACGACTGAAGTTCCCTATACAGTGACCGAGGTGATCTGACTGGACGCCTACCGACTGAAGGACGACAACAGCAACGTTCTCACCATCACTTGGAACAACGAACAGCTGCGTCGTTTCTTCCTCTGAAATTCAGTCTTATCATTTTTACTTAAACGTTCGCTCCTATAAAGTGCCCCGACCCGAACACTTTTGGCCCGGGTCGCTCAGGGTCCCACAGGGATGCAATGTCACCCCTCTTTTTTCTTTCACATGATAAATACATTTTTCCCCGAATGAAAAGGCAGTCCATTCCTTCAATTTCCTTACGTAACTTTGCTCAAAATATTCCGACCGATCGCATCCCGCCTCTACCTATGGTTATGAGCGACTTAGCCTCATGGGCCATGCCTGGGCTCTTAAAGTTGTAGCCTACGGTGCAAACAGGCAGGTGCGAAAAAGAAGAGAATAAAAAACAAAGTTGTGCTAAGGTAAAAATAAGGAACGGACGGAACAAGCTTGCTCGAACGGAGTAGTTCCATCACAAAAACAAAGTTACTGTATTCATAAATACACAAAAATTCTTTACACAGGGGGCTCCCCCACAGCATTATCTTCTAACAATTGCTAAAGTATTTCTACTACTTCTACTATGGCTCTGCGGCGGCATCGACTACCGGCTCGACCGCCGAGGGAAGGGGTTGCTCGCCCACCGACTGGGGAACATTTGGCTCGGTTGGCGTCGGGGCGATGTCCACTTCCGACCCAGGCTCCACGCCATCCGCAGGCTGGGTGACATACTCCTGACGCCCGCTTCCGTCCATGTCCACACAATGAACATCCATTACCTACTGCGTGGAGACTTGCTCGGCCAACAACCTTGCGTGTGGCAGCAAGCTCTCCCCGAGCGACTAGATGTTCTCCGTACTACAGCCATCGGCATACCCACTGCAGATGGTGGTGAAGTCCAGGTCTGGGTGGT